CTATCGAAAAAGTTAGCCCTTCTGTTTGGATTTCTACCCGCGAGAAAGATCCTCTTCTCTCCTTTTTTCACCTTACGGATGAAAGGTATCTTCAGGATAAACGTGTTACGTTTTCATGCGTTACTGCTAACATGCTCGTTGATTGCACTTTTTTTAATCACCGTAAAATAGCAAGACATATTTCACTGTTCTTTATTTGTCCTTTTCATTCTTCAACGTTCTTTATATCTCGTTTTTCTATTTCGTTAAAACATTTGATCTCGAGAAATAGGGAATTAATAACATAAATGATGTAGAGAAGATAGTACAATTTTTGGGTAGATACCCTTCCTGTCCAAACTGCCAAACCTTCAAATATCTCCAATCACTAACACAACTCTATTAGCGAAAAGCCCGCGATATTGAAACCTAAGCGTAGTGCAGTATCAAGAGACACAAAGAAGATCAGGTAAATGAAGTAATACGAGGATATTAAGATGACGCAGGGAAAAATAACGCAGGAGGTGTACGCGTGTAGACCGCCCACGACGTGGCTTGTCAGAAGAAAAATACGACGTCGGATAATGCACCGTAACGAGATCGTGTAATACCGTAGAAAAGTGCATCCAGAAGGTAGTGGCTGATAAGATTTACCTTGCGTCATGGCCAGCCGAAAATTATCAAAGGTAAGGTCGTTTCTGGATCGACCATGCGAACCGGCGGAAAAAGGACAGTCACGAAACCACTGGGATACTTAACAGGCGAGAAAGGGTTGGATAGCTTGTTCAAGGATTTCTTCTCGACAGTATGCAGCTGCAGTTCCTGTCGTAACCCCTCCACCCTCTACTTCACCTTTCCATCGCCATGCTTCTCCTTGTTTCGTGTACTGGATCTTTCCATGTTCGCCTCGAGCGATTGTTAGTTCGTGCAAGGAAATCCAGAATTTCCAGTCAGGGTGAGCGACGTTTGATTTTTTTCATCCGCCGGGTATATACAGGGTGTTCTGAACTGTTCTACTGGCGATTGGTACGGAACCGACTTTCCAATTTTATTTGCAGTATTTCAAACTTCGACATTTTTGCTTTTATGGAGGCGGACATTTTTCGGATTTCTAAACTTTGGTGGTGGATTGATTTCTTCCTATTTTATATAGAATTATATAGCAATATGACGAGAGTTAATTGTGTACAATTTACAATTTTTCATTAGCGTCACAGAATTAAATTCTGTTTACTTTTTGAGAATCACATTCGATATAACTTTATTATAATATGTTATACAAATTATATGATAGTACCATTTAATGTATTGTATTGAAAATATTTTTTTTAAATATTGTGATTTAAGAGATTCTTTTAAATAAAAATTTTAAATATTGTGATTTAGGAGACTTTTTAAATCAAAACTTTAAATATCTTGCTTTCAGTATTGCAATCATAAATATTATCTTTGAAACGTTATAATTAATTATTTTTTAAATACTATAACTAATATATTTTCTTTGAGAAGTAATTTAAATATTTTTTTTACGTATCACAACTGCAATTTTCTTTTAAGAATAATTTAAAGCAGTTTCTTCTAAACATTACAATATAAAATACCTCTACTGCAGTATCATAATTTCAAATGCTTTTTCAACATATTATAATGTAAAATATTTCCTGTGAACATTGCATGTTACATTTTCTTTTTATAACAAGAAAATAATGAATAAACATTCCGCAACGATATTGACTCGGTTGCGTTTAGGGAAATTTCGTAATTAAATTATTCATACGCGTTCCGAAACATCGAAGGTTTTGCGGGAAAATTCAGAATTGTTTTGCATATCTCGCTCAGCGAATCTCATTCCCCTCATGACCTGTAATATTTTTCAAAACATCTGAAATTCTTTGGAAAACAGAATTCATATTATACGGTTTCCACATGCCGCTTTTATTGTTACGAGATAATTTTTTGCATATTGCGAGTTGCACGAACGATTTTAATTCGTTACTGCTAATTTTGAAATCACGTTTGTCCGTTAAATTGAACGTTTTTCGCTGGAAATAAATATTCACGAAGTTTCGTTCATTCGTAAAAGAATGAAATCTGGGTTACTTGTTTTTTGCGTTAAGAGATGAAGAATCAATTGTGGCTGTTCATTCGTGTTATTTTATTTTAGTTTGATAAGTAACAATTGTGTTAGCCGCGGAACATATTTCGTTGCTGGTTTTGCGGCCGGATTATGTACGCGCCCGAAGGAAAAGTATGACACGACATGGAAGTAATCTCATTTCTGAAAATAATGAGAACATGCGCATGCAGATCGAAAATTAGCGAGCTCTCGTATGCAAAATCGCATCGACATCTTTTTTCCCTTTTTAAATAAGGTGAAGCGTACCATGTCGCGAATATCTATTTATTTTTAACAAGTTCATTTTTAGAAATGACACACGCATCGCATTAATTCTTAACTTATACTTTAAATAAAATATTAGTTGACAAAAATAGTAATGGCTACTAGTAATAATAAACAAACAGGAACTATATAAAAATTAACGTTCATTTTGAAATTGCCTTTCGTATCACATATGATATTTTCAAAAAATGTAACAATATTGCGAACTATGCAAAATATTAATAAAATTATGATTATTTTATTTATAAAAAAAATTTGTTAACTGTATAAGTTAAGAAATGAGAAGTCGAATTATTATCGTAATAATTTTCAATTTTATTTCACACCAGAGAAAATCATATTATCTTATGTTTAAAGAACATATTATTATATGTTCTTTAACATTCTAACAATCTTCCACAAATTTCTACGACATACGAACAATATCACATTTGTAGCACGACTTTATTATTCTGATACCAATTCTCTGTTTAATTTCATTAATTAATAATTATTATAATCCTGTATAATTGCACAGTCAAGCATAAAATTCAAAATGTTTATGATACTCTAGGTTATTATTTATTAAATCACACTAAAATTAATGATTGTAAATTTTAAGCAATTAATTATCAGAAATGACGCGTAACGTTCGAGAACTTCCAACGGTCGGACGCCATATTGGAAAATCGGTAGGAAAAAGTCAAAAGTCAAGTGCCAAATTAGAGACTATGAAAATAGTATTACGTATATATTCGTAAAGTAGCAAAAAATTTAATAATAATAAGTAGGGTATTAATACTCTAAATTATTTAGTATTTTAAACACAATTTTTCGATTCATTTTATCAACTGAATATCATATGTCATCTCATATGTCATATACATATGTATATTACTAATATACATACACGTAATACTATATAACATTATATAAAATAATATAAAATAATTCGAAATATTATTTAAATTGACTATATGTATCATACTGGAATAAGACTCACCGATTAATACTGTGCACGATGTTTTCGATTTTGATGACGCAGTTGGCGGATGATACAGCTTCATTACACTTTCGCACAAAATACTCAATTACCGGATAGAATTATTATTGTTTTCGACACCACGATTTGATATTTGTATAATAATACTTCAATTAACAACCGTGAAACACTTTGACTTTAATTATTAACAATTAATATCGGAACCGATACACAACGTACACACCTTTTCAACTGCCGGACGCCATATTGAAAAATTGTGGCGCCAAAAATACTGTTAAGCGTCAGTAGCAGTAAAATGGTAACAACTGTTTAATATTTTATAAAATAAGAAAAAATAATTTCATCACTTTAATTTAATGCGGCAAAATGTACTAGCATCTAATTATTCATATTATAAATTGTATCGAAATAATTATTATAATCCTGTATAATTGCACAGTCAAGCATCTCATAATTAATTATTTCAATACAATTTATAATATGAATAAATTGATGCTAGTACACTTTTCCGCGTTGAATTAAAGCGATAAAATTATTTTTTCTTATTTTATAAAATATTAAATAGTTATTACCATTTTACTGCTACTGACACTTCACAGTATTTTTGGCGCCACAATTTTTCAATATGGCGTTCAGCAGTTGAAAAGATGCGTGCGTTGTGTATCAGTTCCGATATTAATTGTTAATAATTAGAGTCAAACTGTTTCACGGTTATTAACTGCAGTATTGTTATACAAATATCAAATCGTGGTATCGAAAACAATAATAATTCTATCCGGTAATTGAGTGTTTTGTGCGAAAGTGTAATCAAGCTATGTCGTTCGCCAACTGCGTCATCAAAATCGAAAACATCGTGCACGATATTAATCGGTGAGTCTTATTCCTGTATGATACATATAGTCAATTTAAATAATTTTTCGAATTATTTTATATTATTTTATATAATGTTATATATATTACGTATATGTATATTAGTAATATACATATGTATGTATATGACATATAAGATGACATATGATATTCAGTTGATAAAATGAATTGAAAAATTGTGTTTAAAATACTAAATAATTTAGTTTACTAATATTCCACTTATTATTATTACATTTTTTGTTACTTTACGAATAATACTATTTTCATAGTCTCTAATTTGGCGCTTGACTCTTGACTCTTTCCTACCGATTTTCCAATATGGCGTCCGACCGTAGAAAGTGCTCGAACGTTACGCGCCGTGTCTCATAATTAATTGCTTAAAATTAGTAACAAAGTGTTTTACAATCATTAATTTTGGTGTGATTTTATAAATAATAACCTAGATTATCATAAACATTTTGAATTTTATTCGATTATCAAGTATTTTCTTTAAAATTGTGTTGTTCGTTAAACTGCGTCGTCGAAGTTTCAATCGTCGTACAAGATATTCCTACAGTGAGTGTCATTCGTTTCAAATCTTCTTATTTCTTCTAAAATCGTTTAAAACTTCTTTAAGTTGCTTCACAATCTATGTACTTACGTATATTCTACAGTAAATAATAGTTATCGAATTTCTGTGTGTTCTGCGTCGTTGCTAACGCAGTGTTACCATCACGGTTTTGGAAATTAGATTTCAAAGTAACTATTGTTTCATCTTGTTTGTTACAGAGGTTGCAGTGGTCCAGCAGCAGGGCACATCGCGAACTTTGTTATCTGAAAGGACGTAGCGAGGACCAGTGTCAGAATTACGTACGGGTATTCGGCAGACAAGGACCTGATCGATTTCTTGTTTGCGGAACGAACGCGTACAAACCTCAATGCATGCAGTTCACCATCAAGGTAAGTGCTTTAGATATCTTTTTTACTCGGCGGAAACATCAAGGTTATTCCAATTACATAGCCCTTTGTTTCAACCAGCCGCTTATACTTATTTCAATATTCGATCACCATAGATATTTTTAATGATAAAGTAAAGGATAAAGGTAGACATGAGATAATTACACCTTTGATAAAATTACATGTTTGATATAATATTTTTAATTCTCTCATTTAGTTCTCTCTATTCTTTTCTTAAAATCAAAATCAAATATCTACTATATCATTATTAATATATTTATTAATTTGAAGCCTTACGTTAATAATTACAGTGTAGTGATTTTAAATTGCATCTAAAAGCATTTAGTATAATTAGAATTTATCTACTATTGTAAACATGTATTTTATTTAAAATTAATTTACAAATTGAATGTAAAAGTAATAATAGATGCTACCAAAATAAAAGTTCAGTTGAAATAAATTTCTTTGTATTAAAGAGTTACATTAATTTGATAAAGTCACAGTTGTTGATATTTTTGTAGTATATTTCCATTCGATTATTTAAAGACCAGTAATATGAAAAAATGAAAGATCTTAAGAAGCTTGAGCACAAATTGTATTATTTGTGAGTACTTAATCCCTAATTATTTCAAAGGTTGCAATTCTCTTTGTAGTCAAGAAATGCAAGTTAATACGTATAATAAATTTGTAAGTAGAATTTACAGAATTTCAGTTTGTTAAGCTGTACAGTTACGGGCTACAATAAAGGAATTGTGCAAAGCTACTTTTCATAAGATTTTGCATGATAAATATTAATAAATAATTTTTTTTAAATGTTAGATATCTATGTTGAATATAAAATTGATTTTAAATGGCATAAATTGTTTGAACGTATTTTTAATTTTAATATTCTGTTATGCATTGCATTACAATTATACAAAATATTTTTCATATTATTACTATAAAATAAAAATGTGCAGTAATTCAATAGCTTAAAACCATTAATATACAAATACTATGGTGCTCGAATATTAAATAAAAAATGTATGGGAGAGTAGAATGCTACCAATCATATTATTATTTAACTTTAATTCAGATTAGTTTTGAAAAAGATTAAAGCGCAACTGATTTGTAGTATAAGTGAAAGTTAATAAACAAGGGAGGAACTGTATTTGTTATATTTGATAATAAAAGTTACCTAATTTCTGAATTTATAAATTGAAAATTTGAAAGTTAGAAAGTTCACAGAATTGAATATTCATTCATTTAACTTTGGTCAGTACTGTTCGACTCTCTCCTTCTGCATGCTTAAACTAATAATAAATCTCACGTTCAATCTACTTACTGTTGCATTTCATATATGTGACAAATATTGTTGCATAATTGCAACTTGTAATTCACACGCTTAACAAGGCAGAAATTTAACTACATAAAACAATAGTTCAACTTTGATACCGTTTTATTTTTTTTGTAATCGTGCACAAAGATTAAATGAAAAATGAAAGGAAATTGTTTTAACATTTCTACAAAGCAACAGACGGAATTGAACGGTAAACAACGTTAGAAGCATAGGATTCACGGGTAATTTATTGGTCAATGATAAATATTGGCGCGGTAAACAAAAGTCATAATATAATTATAGTAATAAACGAGAACGATACGAGAAGTGTAATCAGATTATCGGTGTTTCCCTCGATACGTTTTATCGTCGAATAGAATGGATATAAAGATGTTAAAAAGTCGTGAATCAAATCGTTCGGAAATTTCATAAATTGTGCTGTTGCATTGTGCAAATTCACGCGGCCGAAATTGAAATTCGTAATCGAGTAAATTTAAAAATTATTCGTACATTCAAATTCAAATACGGCGCTGTTCGGGTATCGATTTTATTTGTATAATCCTATTTTGTATAACAACTTTAGCTTGAAATATCCGGTGATAGTATTGGAGAATTTATTTCAAATTTGTTTTGTAAAATTATATTGAAGTGTACAGTTGAAAATTATTTAGGTATTTTCGTTTCGCAGTTTATTAAATTTTATTGACTCTGTTTAGTATATTTTCGTACGTTAAACGTATTATTTAACATTGTGGTTTATCTTGTAAAGTTGAGAACACGGTAAGTGAAATTTATTATTTATTTATTTTAAGTTGTTTTCTTCCCTATAAATATTATAATTTATTACTTAAGCTGTTATTTAGTTTTTACTTTTCCGCTTCATTTCTACTCTTTTCTGAAATTTCAAGCTTGAAACTTAGAAAAGTTATAATTTAAAATATAATTTAAACGTGAGGGTTTATACGAGTTTATTGAACGAATACGAACACATTTATTACTAATTATTAATAAATATTACAATATATATAATATATATGGATATAAGATATCGTTGAGAGATATAATGTGCCTTTCTAGATTTGCGACCACGAGGTCAGTTACCGGTGTATTAGCTTCCGGTGTCAGGCACGCGGCCGGAAGTCGCAAGTTTACCAGAATATTCGCGATTCTTCCTTTCGCGACATTTGAATCTACGCGAACCTATATCAGATTATAACAATAACAGTAATATTAATATACCAAATGTTTAATAATTTGATTTATAAAATTGAGAAAAACAATGTGTTTAGAAATCTATTTCATATAATCATTTTTTTAATTTTTCTTTTTTGTAAAATTATAAATATATAAAAATAATTATTTAAAATCTGATTTAATTTATAAAATACAAAATAACTTGTCTGTCAAGAAATTTCTCATTTAACCCCTCATATTTGACACTTTATCCAATTTTATTTTAAAATGCGTACAAAATTGAATTAAATATTTAATAATTAATTTCATGAAATTGTGGCAATCTCACAGAGTACTTGGAAATTTATTATTTATCTTTCTTATCCTTAAATTTGCACAATTCTAATTTAGATAAAGTGTTCAAGCTTGAAATAATTATAATTTAGTTTTCAATAATTGATCTTTTGAAATATCTACTTTTATTTTTTCAATTTAACTAATTCTTATATATAACTTCTATTGTGAAATATAATAAAGTTATAATTTACCTTAATTTAATTTAAAATAATTTAATAAAAATTATTTTGCTTTAATCAATGTTGCTCTTAGTTTAGTTAAGGTAAATAATTTAATTTAATTTAGTAATCCAAGTAAATTTGTAATTCAATTAATTTTTCTTTAATTAAGGTATATTTGTAATTTAATTTAATTTACTTTATTTGAAGTAGTTTAATAAATAATTAAGGTGTCTCGCTACTAACTGAAAGATTAAAATAACGAAAAATTCGCGGTGTAAAGATTAGAATACAATATTTATTGCAATAATTTACCATGTAAGATTAGTAAAAGACAGGGTTAGCTCTGAAACTTTGCAAAATTTTTGATTAAACGTAGTTAACACGTATCCTTGATGTACGGCGGATCATCAATGGGCCATCGTATGTGGTTTTGTTTGAAAAAAAGCAGGAGATTGTATCGCGTTGTTGACTCGAGAAAATATGAGCAATAGAAGGCAAAGCTTTTACGGGATCTTTTACGAGGTTCGAGTATACCAGACCGAACTTCTTTCAAGTTTTTACTTTATCACAGAGAACTCCTAATACCGTATAACTCTTGAAACACAGTTAATATTGTGTCTGTATGACTTTATTCCTGGAAACTGTTATTCTGTAATACTCTTATCGACTATTTTATTTTATTTAAATACGAATAAATGATATAATTAAACATGAATAAATATAATATTATTATTTATATAATATTATATTATAGAATATAATATTATTTAAAAATGAATTAGTAATATGATTTTATTTAAACATGAATGAAAAATGTGATTTTATTTAAATACGAATAATTTTATTTAAAAATGAATAAATAATATGATTTTGTTTAAATATGAATAATATTTAATAATTTAAAAATGAATAATTTAAAAATTTAAATATGAATAATTTTACTTAAATATGAATAAACAATTGAACCAATTTGCAAATCATTGTTGTATTTACTCGTGTGTTTACGTGCTCTTATTTGCTCGTTATATTATATTATAATTAATCAATGACATATTATTATCACCGGGTATGGCTCATTAAATCAAATTAATTAGTAGCGCAATTATCAATTCATGTAGGTATTTTAAGAAAAATTATGATTGAAATAAAAATGTATTTAAGTCGTAGTACAAATTTTGCATCTTAATAAAAATAAATTTAAATCGTAATAGAAATAAATGTGTCTTAGTTTTCGTCTTAATAACAAATTTAAATTAAATTAAAAATTTAAATCAAATACAAATTTAAACAATTTCTAAAAAATTACGATAAAATAAAAATTAACTTCATTTAGAAATTTGTGAAATTAGGGAAATTTTGAAAATTCAGAATTGCGATATTTTAAATTAAAAATTTTCCAAATTTACCACTGTACAAATTTACAATTTTAAACATTTATAAATTTGCAAATTTAAAATTACAAAATTTTCAATTTAGCGAATTTACAATTTTACGATAAGATAAAGATTCAGCACTTCAATTTATGACGAAAGTAAGGATGCAGCGTAATTTTTCCGGTCTCGAATGTTTAATCAAATTGATCATGCTTCTAAGTAGGATGTTTCGCTTTAATATCATTTGCTACATTAGATTTTCGCTCGACTACGTCCCGGATATCCGCTGTAAGACCAAAGAAGTTTTAACGTAGAGAGGCTATAAGATTTTCAAAAGGGCTTTTGATGCTTGCCGCTCACTGAAGAAGCGTAGAGAGCGACCGCTTTCGAGAAAAGCGCGCTTCAGCTTGTAATACAGCTTTCCTCTCGCGTTTACAGCAACGAATCACTCTCGTTCTTTTCTCTTTTTTTTTTTCTGCTATCTTCGTCTCTTTGTGCTTCCTTTTTCGACCGTGGCTGTCTACGCTGCTCGAAGGCAGTATTTTTAATCGGACAAAATAAAAATAAAAGAGAAATATTAACGTTGATTTTTGCCGATGGGCGTAACAACTTGTAGGAAAC